GATCGTCAAGGGTGTGAGATTCGGGATCTGATGCGGATCTGAGCAGGCTCACTGGACTTGTATTTCGATGATCGACGCTTCCCTCTCTCGAAGATGTCATAGTCTGCGAGTCACGATCGTTCGTACGTTTTTCGAGAGTTTCCCGCTGGCTGGCAAGCATTTTCATCTCTTCGTCATGAGCGAACGTAGAACCGAAGCATAGGTGGCCAAAAAGATCCTTCACACTTACGCCCAAGTCCATATAATCTTCGTTAATGGTGCATGGATAGACATCAGCGGGCTCAAATGCCTTTACAAGATCGCAGAGCTCTTCATACGAAGAGTGCCTTGAGTATGGGAATTCCTACGTAAGTAAGTTATCGTATGTACTTGTCCAAAGTCTTGACAACACTGACAATACTTCTTGGAAGTTCTTGCCTCACAGAGGATGTTTGCAGCGTCTTTGCTCTACCCCTACCCACGCCCCTGCTTGGAGTTTCAACTCTTTCGTCAATCAGGCTGGTTGCGCCGTCTTCAACAGCAACAAGCTTAGCGAGAAGCTTTGAAAGCTCTGCTAGTGGCATCGTCTCAAGGTTGCCGTTGAAATCAAGAGTATCCAATGAGACGACCATCTTCTGAGTATTCTTCGCCTTGATTATGAGATCGATGGTATTTGATCGGGTTTTCTGGTCTAGAATTTCTTTTGTGCACAACTCGATCAAGGCTCCTACAGCAGTGGCATCGTTGAGCTCAAGCTCGTGCACTTGATTGAGGTCCCCACCGCCTCCTCCAGCGTCGATCTCACTTCAAGATTTCAGAGTCAGCATTTCTTCTTCGAGACGAGATCGAGGAATCAACTATCGGTGGAGTTACAGACCCTCGAGTCTTCTCTTGTGACTCAAACGCTTGGACGAACTGGGAACGAAACACTACAAAAAGCGAACTTACGGTAGGACAAGCCCTTCAACAGAGCGCGAAATAATCGGTCGAATGAAGACAATGTTGGACGCCTCCAATTTGCTGCAGCCCATGTCGTGCTGGCAACTGTGCAAGCGAACATTACTTTTGGGCGTCAAGCACCCGTCTTGGAATTTGTTACCACACTCAAAGCCATATAGTGCAGAGCCTTCGTGGCAAAGGTTCTTGTTTTTGGCAGTAGTACCTAGAGACTCGTACAAAGAATACTTGTATTCATCTACGTGAATCTAGCGTTGTGTAAGCTCTCATGCTTGTCAAACCATCAAGAAAGAGCCAAACCCGAGATCGCAAGGCACTTGATAGAGCAATCCAAACGTCCTCGTAGCCGAAGGTCCAGGCATGGAAGTGAAAGACAGTGTCGATTGGGTACTTGGAGACCTTCTCGAGCAGCTCTTTTAGTCCATCTGCTTTGGATGGGAACCTTCGGCAGTGGTGTTTCTTGGAAGCGAAAGTCGTGTCCAGGTAGATCTTGTCTAAACGCTTAAGGCCATGGGTGTATGGAAGGATGACAGGGTTTCGGACCAAAGAATTAACCCACCAAGGCTCGGCTAGACTAAATGTGTCAAGGCGTACTATACCATCACGACGTGGAGCTTACATCGAATGTCACCGGTGTAAAGAATTGCCTTGGTGTCGTTTTCGATAAGGAACATGACCGCGCCGGCACAGTGGTTTGCCTACATCTTATCAGCACAATTCTTCTACAGGCACGAGAAATTTACATCTAGCAATGTGACTCTCAGAGACTTCCCCGGCTTTAGCTCAACCTCTGTTGGAGTGTTCAAGGCTATTGTCTTCTGAACACACATGTAAGCTTCTTGCGTTGATTGACAGCGATGAAAACTTACAAGTAATTTACTAAGATGCTTGTATTGCTGTTTCCTTAACTCCAAAATACCGAGGTGAAAATTCATGCGATGCGGGTACTTTTCAAGACGGAGCAGGAGCTGCGCATTTGTCAGGGATTAATTGATGGAACTCCAAGACGCAATACATACCTCTCGAGTGGTTGGGGAACAGTAGATGAACGGAGAGCCTGCGCAGATTTCGGAGTAAGTGTTGCTGCTACAGGGCCAGATACTGAATCGAAAAGGACCTTGAAGGGACCTTCTTCTCCCCAAACGGATGTTGAGACTCAGAGCTTGGTAACAAGTAGAAAGGCATCAATACAAAATGCACGTACGGAGAGACTCCAGACCTTGGAGATGGTCGCTGTGTACATGACTGAGAAAGCATGCGAGCGGATTGTCCCTCCCATGAACTTTTCGAAAGTAGTCAACTTGTACCAGGTCAGTGACGCAGGTGTGATAGCCTTTAAGGAGACGAACTTCGAATTCCAGGAAACTCTGGAGGTCTGTGAGCCCGTGTGCATAAGACATGATGGGATGCATACCCTCTACGACTCCCTTGAATGTAGACATCCTGACACTCTTGCGGCCGGTGCCCTCCTTAAGTCTTTGGCCACTTGCCAGCATGCAAAGCTTCCAAGTAATAGTTTTGCCTCGCTCATGACCTGATTAGGTTATTTCAGGACGCGAGCAGGTATGCGGCGCAGATCTAACATGGTTGAACTGATGAGGGAAAGGAAATTCGGAACCCAGAACAAGGGACGTGTTAGACAGTGAATGTCTGTATCAAGCATGGGTGTATTTGCCCAGGCGGTCTTTGAAGTCTACGACACACTTTAGAGCTATTTGAAGTAGAGTGTTTGGATGACTGGGAGCCATGTATTGCGGTAAGGAAAGGAACAAATAGTGTCCTTGCGAATGGTACCTTACGTAGTAGTAGAACCTTTGACTCGGTAAAGTACTTACCACTTACTACCGATTTAAGGACTTATGGTCTCGTGGCAGGACTGACATGCACATTTTCCTCGAGTACTCGTAGTCTCTAGCACTACTGTCCTCTATGGGTTCGGGGGGATTGTTGCATTAGTGGGCTCGGATAGTGAGAGAAATTGAGCCAAAGAGAAGTTCAGAGGCGCCCTGATCTGCAAGCGAGACAATTTTGGCTTTTGACTGAGGGGACCCAGTGATAATATTAGGAAGGCGCCAGGGCGCCGCAAAACTACACACTTCGGATACATCTAGGTACAATCTTACATATAGAGGCACCTGGAACCACACCTTTTCGAATTACATGCGGTGAGACTGCATAGCCAGTCGTATGGTCCGTACACACCCCGATATAACGTTAGCATCATGCATTCGCCTTAGTTCACCGCATAATCTGACGTCTAATCACCACTCATTCGTCCTCATTCCTTGCACATATTTCCGGGCCTCCCTCTAAAGTCGCCGCAGGACACCACAATTACATGACTCTAATTCGAATGCTGCTGCCCAGTGGATCCCATCCGCTGCACATGTGATATACTTGTCACATCCCCCCCTCAGATCCTGCTAGCATCCACCTCAAAACCAGAAATCCCGACTTCGCTTGGACATCTTTACAAGTCCTCACTCTTGGACCCTGGCAAGCGTTGCGACTCCTCCCTCCTCCATTATCCAACGGTCTCTTTGCCCATCTGACCACTATTGGTCGGGTACCTAGACCTTACCGTAGACTAACATAGAAAGACGTGGAGGTATTATTGCCATCATCCAAGTCGAAGGTTTTCCATCCTCACGCCCTAGCCCATCATGAAGAAACCAAGGACTGAAGAGCTCGTCATGTCACGACTGTTCCCGCAGAGGAAGGACATCGATTCCAGTGATTGGCAGACCCACATCAGACGCAGTCTCATTCAGGAAGTCCGTGCGGAAACCGTCTGTTTCTACGGGCCTTTCGATTGCCTCGAAGCCCAATATCCCGGTCTAGACTATGCTAAACCCGCTCATCGTCTGCGTCTCAACCGATTTCCGTCCCACCGAAAACTTTTCAGAGTCTTTGATGAGTTGAGGCTGACCCATTACGAAATACATAGACTGTGTAACTGGGAGGGTACACGGTGGGCTAGGGAGACATATGAGGCCAACAATAGGGTCAAAATAAAGGACACTACCTGGAACGGTGTTCATGATCTCAGGCACAAGAGGACCACTGTCACAGTGGCCCCAATCTGGACTGGGGAAAGACTAGAGACAGAGCCCGGAGAAATTTCGGACAACGACGTAGAATCTGAGGGTGAAGATGAGGAGATGAGAGACTCAGATGAAGGCGACGAGCTTTCTGATGAAGAGAGTGGGGAAGAGAGCGAGGACGAGCTGCAGCGAAGCGTTGGTGTGGATCTCAACCAGAGGCTCCTCGTTGCTACCGAGGCACGAGCAAGGGGTGAAGAGGCAATCATTGACGCGGACTGGGAGCAATGGCTTAAGGAAGCAGCGGAGAGGGGCGACCTTCCTGAATTTTCCCATATGCTCAACCCAACGTTGACGCCGGCAGCTCCGTCCCAGACTTCGGTATACTGGGGTCGAGAGATCCCAGAATACCTCAGTGAAGATTCTACAACCTTGCAAGCCCGCCTGCCGCCACCACCGCAGTACTTTCCCCAGGTCGAAGCAAATTCCGCGATAGCTACAGCCGTGGCAATCCCGCCGCCTGTACGCCCCACGGGTGCCGCATTGTAAGGGAGGGAGCACAGAACACCTGAATTTCTAATAGTACATATAGTCTACTCGGTTTGGATTCTGCATCTCTACGGTTTCACGAATGGATCATGAGCGGATGGCGTTTTGGCTTCACTCGTGGTCATGGACGGGCAAGAGGCATGCCGGGCGTTCTCTACATCTGCACAAGTGCGGCTTTTTCATTCTCTTAGCTACCTGGCATGCATGACACGCGCTGCATAGGGTCCTGTTGAAGCATATATGGGCCTCAATTATCAGTTTAGAAGGGTAAAAAAATACTGTAATTTTGATAGAGGCGAAGCGATTTGACATTGAGCAAAACCTTTTCTCGAAGTGAAATGCCGAACAGGAGACACGTAACGCAAAAATGCCTACAAGAAACATTGTAAGACTTCAAATAAATATCCTTGTTCTAGTTATGGGCTACAAGTGAGTGGTGAGAGGGTCGATCACTTAGGCTTAACATCTATCTGTCTAACCGAATCGTCTCGTCACTTCCCTAGAAAACTCCCCGAAAGTGGTCCCTTTGGCTCTATCCACCACTTCATCTAACCCGGGTTGCGTGAATCTTCACCATTTCGTTGTCAGTATTACCAGTTCAACACAAGTTTGGAGTTACAGGACATGTTGGAGGGGCTTTAGAACGCAACAGTCGACTTTTCGCTCCCGCAATATGTATTTAGACTCAAAAGAAGATATAGAAAGTGAGCACATCACTCTGAACGGGTGCTTACACGGCTAAGGTGTTCCTTGCCACTCTAGTTCCATCCTTCACTGCTCCTCCAGCACGCACAAAATGAGGTACGGCCCTGAATTTGCCCCCTGTGATAATCTGTAATGCTTCGCCTGTCTGGAAGGCTAAGCAGTCCGGAGGGATGGAGACTTTGGTGACAGTGGAATCGCGTGCGTGTATGTAAAGGCCCGCGTCTGGGTCTGGAGCCGACGGAAGAAAAGGTAAAGCCGGTACCGTAGACGAAGGCTTGGTTCGATCAGACATGGAAATCTGAGGAGGATGTGCTGCCTCGTCGACATAAATGGCAGACGTTAAGCCGGTCAGGCAACCGTCTTGATAGCATCAGCTTCAGGACGTCTTTCTTGGGACTAGACTTGGGTTGAAAGCCATGTTCCGGTGTGGTTTACTCCCGAAACAAGTGTTGCAGCCCAAATACAGTGCCAATCAGGAGAAAATACATCAGAGAAGATAACTTACGATCGATGTGAGTTGCGCACCAGGAATCATGGTCTCGTGCTGTAGAGGCCGGGGGACACGGGCTGATGTTTGTAGCCTGAAGGGATTGGGAAGAGGCTGCTGGGGGGAAATAGTGCAACAAGCGGGCCTTCGTTATCATGGAGCTTTTCACAACCTGTTCTAGATATCCAGGCTCATAATCTTCGATGTGGGCTACAGCATACTGGTCACATGTCCGGGCGACTAACACGGCAGTGTCGATTATCAAGGTGCAGAGCTCCTCAAAGGCGACTTGGAAGCCTGGCAGGGAAGTCTCAGCTGGCCAGACATTGGGTGCTGTGAACTCTGGGAAGTCGACCGAGGAGGGTACCGTGACGCCCTCTCCTTGAAAGAAAGCGCAGTTGACATAGTATGACCCTTTCAGTGTATCATACGAACCGCTTTTGAGGGCCTCTTTGCCATGACTCCATCCGCTAAGATACTTTGCTGAAGGGCGGGAAAGAGCATCTGACGAGAATGAGCAGAAGTACATTGCTTTCGATTTTCAGAAGTTGAATGAAACAGGTGACTGGTCTCTACAACATAGAGAATATATACCTAGCTCTCCCGTGGGTAGATTAGCGAGATACGACGCGTACGAGAGGACCTTATGACGAAGGCGGGAAAACCGTTGAGGCAGGTCCTTAACAATTAAGATACCTAGAGAAGAGGGGCCAAACGCTTCTTCCAAGATCTGGAACGGCACAGAAGCTGGGAGATGAATCAGATGTTTGCTTAAGTTGGAGATTCGATCAACTGACAGTGCTTGAGATCTTCTAAGCTCACTATGACCGTGTTTCGAGGTTCATACATGCTCCAAACTTTGTCATCTACTTATCAACATTCCATATTCGGTAGCATCAAAATTCCTAAACGGGTACCACGGGCTTCACTCACGGTAAGACTACCTCAAAGTCAAGGCCTGAACTTCTGAAGGTCAAGCTAGCTTGGAGATAGGCCCGGGACGAGGACGGGCCGTATGGGTATGGGCGGCTGTGTGCGCCTAATTGCATCCCTTGACCGTTGTTAAAGTGAGTAAAGTAGCTTGCAGCCTCGCCTGAAGCTTGGGATGGATGAACTTCTCCGTGAGCTAGAACACGAGCATGCAACTTAATGATCAGAGCTATAATAAAAACACAACTACCAGGGTGTCGAAAGTGTCCTGACCGATAACAATCACTAAGAATGGTGAAACCCTTAGCTTTCAAGGGTGATAGAAAGTCCAAGAAGCGCAAGAATCCCCACCCAGACAGCTGCCTGACTCTTGAAGACGGCGATACAAAGGCTCTCACTGTACAGAACCTGGCAGCCGAAGCAGAAGAAGATGATAGCTGGGTGACAGCAGAGGCAGCAACAGATGTCACCGGACCTATCATGTTTGCTCTACCTTCAACGAAGCCGACTTGCATCGGATGTGATGCAAACGGCAAAGTTTATACGAGCGAACTTGAGAACATAGTCCATGGGGACTTGGCTACGGCAGAGCCTCACGATGTCCGGCAGGTTTGGATTGCAAGCAGGGTTGCAGGCACCGACGAGATTAGCTTCAAAGGTCACCACGGACGGTATGTGAATGCTTATGTTCTGCAATGGGCATGTATATTGGCTAATATCTCTAGCTATCTGAGTTGTGACAGGATTGGTGTGCTTTCCGCGACACGCGAAGCTATATCCCCAGAGGAGTCATTTCTTTGTATTCCGTCTCCTGAGACACCTGGCATGTTTAGCGTCCAAACCGCGCGAGAGAAATTCATTACTATTGTTGATGAGAGCAAAGTACCGGAGATACGTGGCGACGCAGAGTCAGTATCCTTCAACACGACTTTACGTATACGAATGCAGGCGCGGTTCAAGCCAAGACTCAAGGCCAACAAAGAGTCGAAGACTCGGGAGAAGATTAGTAGGAAGGAATTGGAGGAAGTGGTGGGCAGAAGATTGGAAGAAGATGAGGTGAGGAGATTGAAGAAGGCCCGGGTGCAGGGTGATTATCACGAAGCCATCCTGGACGTGAAGGTAAAGGGAAAGCATGACAAGTATTCGTGACCGCCCGCCATAAGTGGGGCGTAACATGGTCCACATGGAGAAGCCTTATAATTCGTGCGCCACCTTAGAACAGATGGGCCAGCCAGGAACTCAACTTGGTAAGTCGCCTAACGGGGCCATTGGTCGTCTAACTCATACTTCCAAGGGTCCGAAATAAATCAGACCATCTGTCAAGCTAGGAGATTCTGACGGAGGCAAAGCGTTGGGCTTTTGCAGGCCACGTTTCTTGAGGCAATTGAATTTTGCGCTATCGACTGGCTGTTCTTTTTCAAACAACATAGCGCGGCGAACGTGTGGATAGACCGTTGCACATAGTCTCTTACAAAATGGAAGATAAGGTAGATAGCTATGGTATGAGGGTATCATCGTCCGAGATGCTTTGACGCCTTTCAGAAATCATCCATGGACCCGAAATAAGCCACTCCGCCGTGCTAAAAGTCCGTTACTCCATCGCTCCTTTGCTCCCCAGACTCGTGCTTCAGTACACCATACAATACATATCAAACAGCATCGTATCAGCTGCCGCTGCTGACGCCCGTAGGTAAGCCAGGTGGATTTGGTCTGGGAACGGTAGTACGCTCTTTCTTTTCCTTCTTGGCCCACCGTACTGCTCAAGAGGTTAGTTTATGGCGAATCGAAAACTTCAGTGGAAGCATGCTACTTACGCCCGCACGCATTGCACAAAGTTTTAGGCCCATTCGGACCTTTTCTCCACTCCGGCGAATCCAAAGTCCCGCAGTCAGTACAGACATACTCGTCAGCAACTTTCAGCTTCTTCTTTTTGTCACCCCCGCGATTGTCCTTATCGACCGGTATGGCAATACCTGCGTCGCCTCTAATTAGTGCTGGGCTTGCGTCGCCCGTACTGATGCCCTGTGACCGCTCCCCATCTCGATAGCGTAAACCTGTGAGCATCTCAATTGTTTCGATGTGAGTGGCACCTTCGTACCGGGCCATCTTATCATTGATGCTGTCAGGCTTAGAGCGGGCGTTTGCTTCGTCAAGATTCTGCTGGGTGAGCGCAGTATTCGAGACGCTAGGTTTGGCTGGCGGAGGCATGCCGTTGTAGCCATTCGATTGCACGGATGTCATTGAGACCGAGCCTGGGGTCTCGCTCTCAGTTCTTTGGGTGTCAGATGGTGTAACACTGCCGTGACCATCCTGCTTCTTTTGGTAATGGCGTTGCTGTGCTTCAATTTCTTCTTGTTCCTCTCGGCGAAGTTCAGCGATTCGCTTTGTCAAACGCTCGTTCTCGATCTTGTGCTCAAGAAACGAGTCAAGCAGGCTTGCATTTTTGGGTGGATATGGCCGCGCCATCATGAAGAAGCCTCGGCAAAACCCAGTTGCATTATTTGGTCCAAAAGCTGCGGCATCCGATGTCAGGTGAGGGTGTCCATGTGATTCAAATATCGTGTACGTTTCATCAGCCTTCTTAAAGCGATAGAAGAATCGAAGAGTGTTCCCCGAAGCTATTGATTCGTTGAATTCGCGGACAAAGACCCCTCTATCGTCCTGGTGGATGAACTCTACAATGAATTTCCCAATAAGCGCTTCGTGAGTATAGCCTGTCAAACTCTCGGCCGATGGTGAGACATAGAGAATCCTTCCATCCGGGGTGAGGATGTGAAGGAAATCCTTGAGCTCTTCGAGTACCCTTTGAGACCAGTTTCTTCGTTTGGTGAAGTCTGTCAACGTACTTCCGCCATTGACATTGGTCTGAGTGCCAAAACCTGTCGGTAATGGACCAGCACCAGCTCCAGTCATTATGCCATTGGCGGTTGTAGAATCCTCATTGGCCTCATTGACAAGCTGCTGCTGTGGGTCCATTTGCGCTTCGTTTGCGCCGTAGGTTTGGGCATCCGGAGCATTGTTGAGTCGCATGTCGATGTTCATAGGAAGCATGTCATCCAAGCCGTCCATCATATCTCCACCCTGATCCAGCATGTCTGCCATGTGGGCATCCCCACCGCCCATTGCCTCCATCTATAAATTAAGTATCAGGCTTGTGTGGGTGATAGTGGAAAGAGATATTGAGGGCTCACTGGATTCCCAACTGCAGAAGATATGCCGCCTTGGTCATTTTCGAACATCATCGACATGACGGTTGGGCCACATTGGGTGGTGGATTACTCCTCAGAAGAACAGAAGTAGAAAGGAAATGTACAATCCGCGCATGGGGGGTGCCAGGGGGGTAGGTGCGGCAACTTGTGAAGACGCGGGGAAAATAGCCTTCGCGCGACTGCATCAAAGTGTTCAACACGTTACTTTTAATATTTCAGGGAAACACATTCACTCATAGCCCGAAGCACATAGTAGCAGTGAAGTCAAGGTTTCTTTCAACACAACAGCCCGTCGACACTGAAGTAATCCTGGACAATTACTATTGAAACGCTCTTTTCTCCCTCCAAAAACATCAACTTCTCGAACACCAAATTCCCTCTTCCCATGGCACACACACAGACACAGTAATTGACGTGAGTACTTGGAAGAAACAAAATGTAAGTGTGCCTACAGTATTCACGTAGATGGGTTGACTTACGAGATGTCTTTCACAGGTGTAAGCATGCTGAGCAGTGAACGCATCCCAGTCTCTGTGCCAAAGTTGACTGAACGTTTTCTAGCGAAGATCAATAAGCTCTCCATCATGGGGTATGGAAATATGTTATCATGCTTGCTATGTCCCTCTTCTGACCTTCTCCAGAGTTCGGTCCTTTGACAACACCCGCCAAGAGACCATCCAGTTTCATACTCCATTGACTTTGATTGTCGGCTACAATGGCTCGGGGAAGACGGTACGAACGCCTCTCGTGTTAATGAAAAGCCCACTGACTAGATTCCCAGACTATCATTGAATGTCTCAAGTATGCCACGACAGGGGATCTGCCCCCAAACAGCAAAGGAGGGGCTTTCATACAAGATCCGAATGTACGTTGATATGATCCTGCGTTCCAGACACCCACTCACAATCTTGTAGCTATGCGGAGAGAAGGAGGTCTACGCACAGGTCAAGATGTCGTTCAACGGCACTTCGGGAGCGAAGATGGTAATCAACCGAAATCTACTACTCACAGTGAAGAAGAACACTCGGCAGCAAAAAACGCTCGAATGTACGCTCGTAGTCGTCAAGGACGGCGAGAGGACCGCACTGTCTTCACGTGTCGCGGAGCTAGATCAGATCATGCCGCAAAACCTCGGTGTTTCAAAAGCTATCCTGGACTCGGTCATTTTCTGCCACCAGGACGAGAGTCTGTGGCCCATGAGCGAACCCTCCGCGCTCAAAAAAAAATTTGATGAAATTTTCGAAGCTCTCAAGTATACCAAAGCCATTGACAACATCAAAACGTTGCGGAAAGTGCAGAATGAGGCTTTGAAAATTTTCAAGAACACGGAACAGTATACCAAAGACATCAAGGACAAGGGTGACAAGGCCGAGAAACGGTCGAAAGCACTGGACATGGAGCTCAAAACCCTAAGAGAAGAGATCACGGAGCTTGACAATAAGGCAAATGAGGCTGAAGACAAATGGATAGAAGCAACGAACAAGGGGGCACAGTACACGAGCGTCATCAAAGACATGGAGCATAGTCGGAAGAGAGAGGACTGGCTCCAGACGACCGTGCAAGAATTGGGTCACGATCTCAAAGAGCAGCGCAAGGAATCTGATGAATGGCTACAATCTGAGCTCGATCAATACGCAGAGCGTATGGCTGCCCATGAACAGCAAGAGAAGCAACTGAAACAGGACTACGAAAATCTCGAGCGGAAAATTGACGGAATCAGCAAGCAATTGCGCAGAAAGGACGCTGAAGCTGGCGAATATCAGGCACAGCGAGCGAATCACGTAGACCAGATTAAGAAGCGCAAGACTATGATCAAGAAAACTTCAAGTGATCACAAAATCCGAGGATATGAACACGACCTTGACGATACGCGAATCAACGAGTATATGGAGAAGATCTTGAATCTGTCAAGGGAACAAAATGCCGCGGTCGAGAAAGCACGCAACGATAAAGAACTCGAAAGGCAAAAGGCACAGGACATTCTCACTCAGCTCGATAGAGAGCGATCAGCTCTGAACGAACGCAAAAAGAGTGCTAAACACCAGTCTGTTGCTAATGACCGCAAAATTGATTTTCTCCAGTCAGATCTCAACAAAATTGAGGCCGATGAGGGCGGAAAGGCAATACTTGAAGACAACATTAGGGATCTTGAAATCCGACTGAGCAAATCCAGGGATGAATCGAAGAAAGCCTCGTGGGACAGCAAGTTGCAAGAAGGCAAGAGCCAGTTGCGGATACTGGAGGATGAGATCGCGCAGTTGCAAGGAGATCTCGCTCAAGTGTCCAAGCAAGCAGAAGATCGGGCGGCGTTGAACATTGCGAAGAAAGAGGCTGCAGATTGCCAAAGAAATCTGCAGAAGATGAGAGATGTTTACGGCGAGAGACTCGAAGCCATCCTGGGGCACGGCTGGCAGCCATCAAGCCTTGAGGCCGACTTCCGAAAAGTTCATGATCAGAGGTCTCGTCTAGTGAGAGACGCCGAGCGAGAACGTGAGGGGGTATCTCGCCGTTTGGAGCAACTTGATTTTAAGCTCAGTAGCGCACGGTCTGACAGAAGCAAGGCTGAAAAAGAATTGGCTGCATGCGTCAAGAAACTAAGCGATAACGTCGAAGGTGAGCCTGAAGATTACCCTAAAACGGTCTCGGAAATTCAGAAGGACCGTGATACGCTCAAAGCAGATATCGACAATTATGAGAACGAGCGCAAGTACTTCGCAGACGGCATCGCGTTGGCTCACAAGGAGCACAAATGCAAACTATGCTTGCGGAATTTTCAAGCCAAAGAGCAGACGGACTTCATTTCCAGATTGGAAAAGAAAATAGCCAAGCAAACTATGACCCAGATCCGCGAGGAGTTGAGCGTCCTTGAAGATGACCTGCAGAAAACCAAAGATGCTGGTCCGAGCTATGAGACGTGGGTACGATATTCGCGAGAAGAGC